ATTATTGCTGCTGCGAAAAAGATGGCCATTTTAATGGGTAGATTATCAGGTTTAGTCAGAGGAGAAGGCGGCAACAAGAGAGATCTGATAGCTTGTGCTAAAGACATCGCAGAAGCTTCCCAAGAAGTGACTCGCTTAGCAAAGGAACTCGCTAGAGAATGTACTGACAAACGTATCCGTACGGTACGTACAGAATTTATTTTAAGTTCTTAATGTTTTGCGTAACATTCATTATATATGTTTTAAGGGTATAATTTTTGTATTTTCCAGAATCTCCTTCAAGTTTGTGAACGTATACCTACTATAGGTACGCAGTTGAAAATACTATCAACGGTGAAAGCAACAATGCTGGGTGCACAAGGTATAGTGTACATTTTTTTTACTATTTAAAATCATATATTCTTTCTTACAACAATCTGAAATATAGTTTACTCGGTAAACATTAAAGGATGTCGGGGGATATTCTATATCTTTAAAAAATAGCTGAAGTAAACAATTATTAATAAAATATTTTATACATAGAGACGCTCCCCACCTGGGAAGAGTTGATGCTTTATGGTAAAAAAGTTAATAAATTATGCTTAATGTCTTTATCGTTCTCCTTAGTATTTATTTTGTTTAATTTTTGAATACTATACAGTTTTGCACTTGCATTACAATGCATGGATATTTTAGTCTTCCCCAAAAAGGACAAGAATAAATTAAACATTTTCAAATACTCGATTACAAAATTTAAAATTATTTTTTAATTTGTTGACTTTTAAATTATTACTTATTGATATATTATTTAAACTTTAAATGGTTTGCGGTTGATATGCTTCTACTCATCACGGTGTAGACGAATTGATTGGGTGCAGTAAGTTTACCATAAAATAAATATGAGGTAGCATAGACAATATGTGAGAATTAACGTTGTGTATACTTAAGAAGCAGCACTGTATTCGTAAAGTATACTTCGTATATAATACAATTTATTTATCATCAAATTAGTTCTCAATGAAACAAACTGATTTACATTGCCATTATTAAAATTATTACTTGTATCATTTATCTCATCATTTTCAGTGTATGTATTTTAGATTTGTTCCCTGTGCATGAGTTTTTAACTTACACATGCCCAATTCTCTCTTTTGACATAAATACACAAACTGTATTTTTTACGAATATTAGCACTTATGTATTGCATGCAATACATCGCAGTAGTATTTATTTCCCTTGTAAGTGATAGATTTGTTAGATAGTTTTACATCCATTACACATACAAAATAATATTTACCCCTACAATATGTATGTACGTATTTAAAAACGTAATTTTGATTACATAGAAGTCGTTTGTTTTGGTTTATTTTTATTATACTTCCATTTGTTATTAATACATTACAAAAATTATAGAATATAATGATAGAAATGAATACTTTCGTTTTATGAAAATTACTTTAAATACTCAAATTTGAAATATACTTGAAATGTATACTTATAATATACAGGCACAGAAGAAGATCAAGAAGCAACAGACATGCTTGTTGGAAATGCTCAGAATCTAATGCAAAGTGTGAAAGAAACCGTTCGCGCGGCCGAATGTGCGAGCATAAAAATACGCACTGCCTCTGGTATGAAACTACGTTGGGTGCGACGTCAGCCTTGGTACCAATACTGAATAGAGTGTGACGATGATGAAAATCAATGAGAACGGGTAGGTAAGACTTCCTAATGTCAGAACATAATCGATTCCACATGATATATTTAAAAAAAGTGTTCTAATAAGGAACAACATTCAGGTGTCTTAAGTTCAAGAAATTTAATATATTTTTTTTATGAAATATACACTATTGAGAAACGTAACTTGCAATATAACTCAACATATAACAAAAAATATTAAATCTCTTCTACATGCCTGAATTTTGATTCTCATAATAGCCTAAACGTAAATATAATCGTACGATAATTTATATTTATACACGTACTGACAAATAATATATTCATTGCAAGAAATTTATAGTTTGTAACATGAAAACGAGAGCTAGTGATTAATATTAGAAAAATACTTTACCTACACGAGTTATGAAACATATTTCAATCATTGAAGTATAGTCTAAAGGTATTTTCAGACAATGTATTTAAGAGCCTCTATCTATCTCAGTCTCGTTAAAGGGTAAAAAATTAAGTAGAGATGATAGAGCTTATGCCTTATAGAAATTACCAATTTGCTATATATTTATACGTGTATTCGCAGTAAGTGTACTTTCGCATATAATCGATTTAACATCAGCACAATTAATAGAGCAAGACATTTTTATCTATATTTATTAAAAATCCGATTGAACCATGATATAGCACTATGTATTTTTGCAAAGTGAAAATGTGCGAATATAATTTTAATAGGTGCTATTTACCGCAATATACACGTAGATATCTTAACATCCAATATATACTAAGAAAATCTATTTTTATAAGTTTTATCTAATCGTCCCTTTTAGAGAATTTATATAGCTGTTTTTATAACCATAATTTTTTCGAACTGGTGCTATATGCGTGCAATATAGATACGAAATATTGCAAGATAACACGAGAGTGAGCAATGTTAAACCAAATACATGTAATCAATTTGGTCATGTACCGTTAAAAATCGTAGATTAAGTATTAGTATGAACAGTACTACATAACACGAAATTGGAATGTTCATAATATGTAATATTAACACTTACGAGCATCCGGCGAATGTTATAAATTCGTCGCACTCTGCGCATCGAAGTCTCCCTCAGCCAAAGTGTTAATTTTGGTAATACAGTTTACACTAATTTTGTGTAAAACTACTTATAGTAAAGATTCATTTTTATTATATAATACAAATTTATAAAATTGATGAACTATGATTTTATATTATAGCATTATGTACACGATCTTAGTCTAAGAATTAATAAAATTAAATACAATATTGTCATTGTTGGATTAACATTCAAGAGGATCCCGCTTCATTGCGTGTAAACCAGGCACTGTAGCGCCTGGCATTTTATTCTTTGGTATTTTTCCAGGTCGTAAATAAGGATTGTCTATGGCATCTTGTTGTGTTGTGGTCTCTCCGTTGTGTTCTGTATCTTCAGTTTGTCCTTTCATACCTACAATGGCGACAAATTTGATTAATTATTGTTTTTTTTTTTTTTTTTTTTTTTTTTTTTTTTTTTTTTTTTTTTTTTTATTTATTTATATTTGTTGGTATTTATTTCCAATGAATTCAGACCTTCTTCTTTCTCTTCTTTCTCTTGTTCCTTTTTCTTTTTTACAGGGCTTGGTTCAAATTGAAAGTCTTGATCAGGCTCAAATATTTGATCTTGTGGAAGAAGAGCTGAGAGATAGCTAGGAAATTGTGGTTTACACGATATTACTGAAAGTACAAAGCATTTCATTTTTATAATACACATATTGATCACTTACATTGCATAAATTTGAGATTACTTACATGGAAACATACTATTATCTTCTGTTAAAAAGAGGCTATGCGTTTCTCCAGTTTTTGCAATGAACCTTGTTAGTGCCCTTTCAATATCACGCTTTTGTGTTGCTGCTTTTTCTCTTATTGCTTCGTACTCTGTTACTGGCTGTTTGTGTGTCTGTAAATAGATAATGTGATTGTAGATAGATAAACACAAATCATTTCAATTATTGAATTATTATATTTTTTATTCATCTTAGTATGTATGCTTTACCGGTGTCCTAATGTATGCATGCGGATCAGGAAAAGCTGGTAAATAACTTGGTATATGAGACGGATGACCTTGTTTCACTCCAGCCTGCAAAATGTTCAGTTGTTTTGATTGAGTTTGTTGCTGAAGTGGGGGTAGAACAGTTCTGTTAGATCTCTTTCCATAAGTTTCCATGTTATCCAATTTTATACCCATATTTATTAATGCTACTATGACATCTGCAATGAGTGGTTCTGTTCTACCAGAAAGTTCACAATAATTCCTGGCAGATTCTCCAACCTCTACAATGACTATAAACGGATAAAATGGATTCAATTATTGAATATTTCAGACAAAGTATAATTAAAATATTTGGAGACAAATAAAAAAATAATGTATTAACAAAGAGTATAAACTATTAATTTAAGTTTTTTAACTCTATTTAAATTCTTACAAGATTGTAGCATTTCTGTAAGTGTTTCTAATGCTGGTTTATCACAAGTATCGTAACCAGATTCCACCAGAATACTGCAAACTACATGATTTAATACTTTTCTTCGTGTATTTGTTGTTTGTATATCCATGTTGTTCCATGTAAATATCAAGTAAACCACATTATGATAGAAATCACACTATAGTCAATACCAAACTATACTGAAAATGGTTTTATTCGTAGTGGCGCCATCGGTGGAAAAATACCCAAGTTTGTAGTGAAAATAATTCCCACCATTTCTATAAGATAGCAGCACCGATATGTTTTAATTGTGCTTTAATTTTGTATAAATGTATAATTAATACGATTCCTTGCCATATAACACTACAATATATTAGTTAATAGTCCAATTTATCATTTGAATGAATAATTATTTAACGCAGCAGTAATTTATCTACCCTTTAACTAGTGTCGCCATCTAGCAAGAATAGTGGGAACTATTTTCACTATAAACTTGAGCGTTTTACCACTGATGGCGTCACTAGTACTAAAACCGGCCCAATGAGCGTCTCAGTGAGCGGTGGTCTTTCTGCTCCCAACCAGAGATGGGCAAAACCCTAGACTTCGAATAAATCTGAAGTCTGCCGATATGTTTATCTCTTTTCCTTCTTTGGAAAATGTTCTAAAGAGGAAAGGAGATAGACATATCGGCAAACTTCAGATTTATTCGAAGCCTAGCGTTTTGCCTATCACTGCTCCCAACATATAAACTTGTTCTAGCTAGGGATATTGATCCAACGAGTAAATTTTTGATAAATTGTATTTCGATATTTGTATCAACAATATATCATCTTAATTTCTATAACAGCTTTTAATTCATTATGATATTCCTCCATAAATACACTGTACTATAAATTTGCAGCTATAAAGAATTTTGTAAAACGAAAGAAATTATTCTCGTACCATACGTAGACGGTTATACTAATCATCTTTGTATTTGCGTTCTGATAACGATTAGCTAACGGTGCATTTGTTGATCCCTGTTTCAATCCACGGATTGTGTGGTTGAAAAAACATTCCTCGTTGAACGTAGAACAGTCTAACTTTATGTTGGTTTTAATTTACGAATTCTTAGTGTAATTTTATTTTAATATCCGTTGAGTAATGTATGTGCCTGTAAAAGAATAATTAGTCGATATACCCAGATATACCTGTATCACAACAAACGTTTATTATACGCGCGCAATTGTTTTACATTTGTATGTAGAAATTATCTTAATGTATAATTAGTAATTAAGATTATGGCGTCAGGTTTGGAAAGTTACGTGAATCGTATCCTTTTTTTAACTAGATTTTATGATCGTAATATTATAATTTATACTAGTTGTTTGTGTAACCTTAACAAATCACAGATACCGTTTCGATTATCACTTCTGATGGCAGGAATTTTATCGTAAGGACATTATTTGTAGTGTGCCTAATTTGTTTGTAACCCGCATTGTACCTTAAAGTTACTATTACAAACTTTGCAAAATTTGCTTTTGTTTTCAGTCAGAGAAGAAAGTTAATTTCTATTAAATAATTTGTTTAAGTTCTTTGCTACTAGATTGACATTTTTGTATAATGTTAAGTGTAATTGATCAATTCCATGTTCACAATTTATGTTTTTTTAGGGTACATTGAAAGGTTTCGACCAAACCATTAATATAATATTGGATGAATCACATGAACGAGTATACAGTACAACACAAGGTGTAGAACAAGTTGTATTAGGCTTACATATCATCAGAGGTGACAATGTGTAAGTAATTTAATTTAATTACTATTAATTATATACATTAGAAAATGTATCCAAATGCTTCTCTATTATTGCTATCATTATTGAACTTATTTTTTGTCTATGTTTGCTACAAATTAATACATCACCTCTTTTCTTTAAATTGATACATTAATTATTTGTATTTAAATTACATATAATAAATGATAGTATAAACACGTTGAGATATATAAATAAGTTAATAATATAAATTCCCATCATTCTAGCAGTCTCAAAAATTGCATGAATACTGTTATTTAAAAAAATATGTGAGTGTACAGTTATAACAAGATTGTTAATTTACATTTTGAATTACATATGTACATTTGTTACTATATTAAAAGTATATACATATTTCATAATATAATTAGTAGTGGATTGTAGAGAGATTAAATGCCCATAATTATAATAATGGAGAACATTAATAATGTACAATTAATTGTGTACAAAGCAAACATATAAGGATCGTTTTAAACATATTACATTTGTATTTTCTTTTCTTCATTTTCTGTAGGGCAATTGTAGGAGAATTGGATGACGAGATGGATGCACGTTTGGATCTATCGGGTATAAGAGCCGATCCTCTAAGTTCTATTGTACATTAGTGGAATATGATTATAATTATAATTATTATGACATAAAAATAATAATGATAATTTAATAAGAATCTGTAACAGTGAAGTATAGCTTGATAAAAGTACAACATCTTATATATGATATATATTGTACAAATCTTGTCATCTTTTATATCCATAATTTAGAGTATTTGTATTTTAAAAAGTACACTGCGGAAATACAGCGTTATTTATGATATAATAATAACGAAGTAAAATCTTATCAGAATCAATAATTGAACTGTACAAAAAGTTTTACTATATAATAGTAAACTTTATTTTTTTACAAATGTAATTTTACTTTATAGTATCATAATAATAATAAAGAAAAATATAATTGGTAGGTTAACACTGGATAATGACTGAACAATTCATTAAATTTAAATATAATCTGTTTCTAATATTATTTCTCAGAGAGGAAGTATTCTTAACCGCATTTTAGCAGATAAATGTGTTTAACATTAATGTGGAACGTACAATTGTACCACGAAAGGGATAAATGTAATTACTGGATAGAAGTTTTACCAACATTGTAAAACTTACGTTATTACAGGATTAACATCTATTCGAAAGTTTTTAGTTTGCAACTTCTACAAAAATTGAAATGAAAGATTTTATGTACCCATTTATATATCTTCAATACTTATCGCAAGTAAAAAATTATCTCCATGTACAACTGTTTTCAAAATTCTTATAAATACATTAATTTTTTACAAAATATTGCAATGTCGTACTGATTGATGTACCGTTACTTCATTGGTGTTACAATTTATGATAATGAGCCTTAGGCCATTTAACAATCGAATAATTTACATCATACTCGTTCGAACGCAACTCGATAAAATCTACATGCGTCCTAAAAGCCAAAAACTACAGTGTGCACATGAATCGTATATAATGCATTGATGTTACGTACTATACATGGAAGACATAAAAAAAATATAAATCAAACTATTTTTATTCATCATACCTTATGTATTAAATGTCTTTTCAAATTGATAATGTTCTTCTATATATACAGACAAGTTTGCTCAATCAATTAATTTCATTTATCTGTAATTTAATAAATGTATTGTGTATATAATTTCATCGTAGAATATGATTTATATTTTTAAATAAAATATAGAACGTCACGTGATTATGAGCATTATCCACAGCATTCACGATGTGCATGCGTTTTAACAAATGCTTGAAAGTATATTCATTTACAATTTCTTAATATTTTCGACTCCTTAAATTTCTATTCTGTTATATAATCACTAGCGAGCATTTGACACCATGTACAATTGACACGATTAAAACAATTAATCTGGACCGCATAAATGAATGCATTATATCAACAATGCATGCTGTACAAATTTAAATTAGAATGAGAATTATCACCAGGTACTTCGCTTATGTACCTACTCAAAATTGCTTATTGCTTTAATTATTAGTCACGATATTGGTCCTGTTTCGATTCCGCCGCCTAATTCGACCACCTCGTCTATTTTGATTAGTTCCATTCCACTCTGCCCCATCCATACCAAAATTTGGATTCGGGCCGTTTGGATTGAACCCCATCATAGCAGAATCTGGAGGTACTGGACCAGGACCGGGACCAAAATTATTGAAATTACTACCAGAATAATTGGTTGCACCGTCGTACGATGAATTAACATCTGGTCCAAAACCTACACCAGGTGCTGGACCCAGAAGTCCGGCTCCATTGTTACGTTGCACGTTAAAACGTGGATCAAAGTTCATCTGACTTTGAGGCACAACTGGTGGTCCATTAAGAGGCATGCCTGGTGGCATATTGGACATTCCTGTCATACCCATAGGTGCCATATTTTGAGGGCCCATAGGTGCGTTCATCATGGGTCCCATCGGGCCCATGTTTCCCAGCATTGGATTCGGACCCATAGGCATCATACCTTGTCCTCCTTGCATAGCTTGCGGTCCGGGTATAACCTGAGGAACGGACAATCCACCAGGGCCAATTCCTATGTTCGTTATTTCCATTGGTGACTGCTGTACAGTTTTCATCATGGAAGCATTTACATTTTGAGAAGATAAATTGGAAGCCTCGAGAGCTTTTCGACGCGGATCAGATCGAATTTGAGGGGGGGATTTCGGAGTATCTGGTTTCAGTGGAGGTGGAGACATAGGAGAATCGGCTAGTTCGATTTTACCGATTCTAAATATTTTCCTCAAACGTGGATCGTATTTCACCAGTGCGTCGTTCTTCGTGAGTTTAAGACCCGTGTAATCGGGTCTTGGTATGTCAACAACGTACACTTTGTACACCATTGGAGGATGCGAAGAGATACTCGCGTCTATTTCCGTGCATGGTATGTGTGATGGTGCTGGTTTGAAAGGTAGACTTAACATTTGTCGCAGATCAATGTCAGATTTTGTCGATGCATCTGTAAAACTTGCACCGACAACTCGAAGATCCGTATCCCCGAAACCAGTTTGAAATCGTTGTCTGAAATCCATATCTTTCCTTCTAAGATCCTGATCCGTCTTGGTACGAAGATCTGTGTCCATATTAGTATCAACAGCGGTAATACCAGAACTGTAGATGCTTGTTTCCAGTCGAAGATGTTTCGATTCTTTTTTACAGTCTATCCTGCTGGGACTACTTGGCTTCTGTTCATCTCTACGTTGCCGTGGATCCCGGGACATGCGAGGATCTCTCGACACAGGCGCGGAGCTCGTTCCAGGCGAGGAACGCGGACTCGTTGTTTCATTCTCGATTTTTGCCAATTGATTTGAAGTATTGAACGTTGTAGGAATACCCATTTTATTTTGGCTATTGGAATCATCTAATGATGCTCTATCTGGCGAGGATTTAACTTTCGAAAGATAATCCTGTCCATTTGAAGACTGTTGACCAGATTTGCCAGTAGTCGAACTGTGTGCTTTGAGCGAAGATAACAACTTCGACACTTCAGCGCTGATATCGATTTTACTCAAATCACCGAGTTTGTCTACGATAGCTGCTGGCTGTGGTATGGTAGGTGTTACGGTTTGGGGCTGAAATTCTTCTTTAATGACAATATTCTGTGTCTTTTCTGCGAACTCGTTTTCTTCTTTCAAATTGTCCTTATTAGATAGTACTATCGTAAGGTTACCACCTTCGTCGTCGTCATCGTCGTCCTCGTCATCTGAGTACCAATCTTCTAAAATTTGATCTGTGTTTCGTGTAGGACATTCGTTCTCCATATTTTTAAAGCTATCTTGAGCTGCCCGTTGTTGTTGTTGGATACGCATAAACAATTCTTGTGCCTTTTTCGGTAAATGTGCCGGTACTTCTTGCTCTTCCGCATGCGGCGAAGAAGCATTTAAATTAATACTTTGTTCATTTGCGGTAGACGTTTCTGTAACAAATCGAGTATTTGTTGATTAATATTAGTTACTTATTTTACTTATTACTTGATGATAAAGCAGTATATAACAATCTACCTTCTTGATCTGTACTTTTGTCTTTCGGTTTATCGTCATCTTCGGCTGGCACCTCGATAACAAGATCAGTTTCTTCGTCCTGATCACTTTCTTCCTCGAACTTTGATTTAGTAAGATTTGCTACTTCATCTGCTATACTAACAACGGGTGGGGATTTTTTTGAACTTTTTAATAATTGCCTTAAATCTATATCTTTCGAATTTTCAAGTATAGAAGTATCTTTTTTCTTTGCCTGAAAAAGAATATTACGAATAGTTGTAGGTTTAAAAGATTTATCGCATAGGATAGGAGCATAACTATTATACCTGTTCTAGAATCTCATCTTCTTCTACATCCTTTGTAAAATCTTCTCTATCCCTTACTTTACTTAAAGTAGCTTTGTTCAAATCGGAATTGGCCTCTGTATAAAAATCCATGTTTGGTAAAGATGGTGTCAATGGTTTTTGATGTAGTTGCTGTTGAGTTGCCAAACCTAATGCAGCATTAGGAAGTTGCAAACCGAACTCATTGGCTGATTGTAATAGCATAATTTGTTCGTATGGAACTCTATCTTCATCTGACCCCCATCGAGTTTTTTTGCCAGATGGTTTTCTTTCTCTAACAGTTTTAGGTTGCACTGTGTGTTCTTCTGTATCGGAAATTAATATTTATTAATGACCTTAAAATCATATCTTTCACTTAATCTCTATTATAATAATCAAAATATTATTAACTACCTTTTTCTTCCTTTTCATTACTTTTTTCTGTGGCATTAATTGGTGCAGTCACATTTAAATCGAAAAGACTTGGAATCTTTTGATTTGTGGCCTCCTGACCTTGTGCTAGTGTTCTTGCTGTGTTATTAATCATTAACATTGCTCCTTCTCTACTTAAACGAGGAAAATCACCAAGAATTTCCTTTGGTGCTGTTTCTAAATGTTTCAGTAGTATTCCTTTTACCTAAATGACAACAATATTGACTTTTAATATGATATTTAAATGAAATGCATTGAGAGCTTAGCTATTTGTACCTGTTCATTTAAAGGTTGATGGGAGAATTTACAATTTTCTCCCTGATTGCATTTCAATCCTGTATGGAAAAATTTACATGGAAAATCATGATGCATGTAAAGACACTTGTCTCTCTTCGCGCAACAGTCCATAAGGTAAAATTTACATAGTTCCATTTTTCTAGGTGGCAATGCATTATGCGAAAAGGGGCAGTCGTCTCCTCTATGACATTTTCCTTGCATGTAGTAAACGCATATAGCATCTGGATCTTGATTATGGTCATTGCTCTGATTTCTTCGTCCATTTCTATCATTACGCATTTGTCCACGAGTTTTATTTTTACCGCCGCGTTCGCTTTTACCACCTCTTCTTCCTATTATAATAGAAATATTTTTATGAAATTTGCAAAAAAACATTTAATAAACTGTATTTTTATCATTGTACCTCCTCCTCCACCGCCTCTTGTACTGCCACGCTTAGTATCATTATCCCTATGACGATTTACAGTAGGCCTTTCATCGTAATCAGAGTTACTGTCAAAATTTTCATGTTCATTGGTATGTCTCGGGGAACTATTTTCTTGTGAATCTTTCCTAACAGGTGAAGCACCTCTTACAAATAACATTTCATCTTCGTCATCATTAGCATTTTCATCATCGCTCACCTTTCGCCTCTGTAACCAATATATTAATAGTAAAACTATAGTTCTGACATCCCATTGTAACATGGTATCTTAAAAATTAAGTTTCACAAATACATTATCCTTGTGAAAGTTAATTTTTTAGAACCATTAGAAATATTATCCATCTAAAAACCTTCTGATCCTTGCTACGGTCTTCTTCTCTTTCATCTCGTAGCCTTTTCCTACTCTTATTTCTATTATTTTTACTCTTAGATTTAGAATCTTGGCTTCTAGCACCATCCTCTTCTAAAGCTGCCCTAATAGCCTTCTCGACATCACCAGCCCAATCTTCTGTTGGGCTTTTGTACTTTAAGAACCGCTCATGTTTACTGCCTCCTTGTACACTGGACTTTTTATTTTTATTAAACTTAGAATCAAAGCTTTTATTTTTTGATGTATCTGTCTTCGATGTATTCTTGACAGTATCATCAGCTGGTGGTGGTGGTACAGGTTCATCGTCTTCATCGGATGGAATTTCTCCATCTTCCAAGTCATTGTCATTATTACTATGCATATATTAAAAACGTAGTGTTAGTTAAAAACATTTAAAACGTTTGAAATATCTATGTGTGCATTGTTGTATATTTGTATTTTGAAATGTATTAGGATATAAGACTCAAGAAATTTATGACAATGACATACAATTATGTAAATTTGTCTGTTTAACAAGTTTGGCAAATTATCATTTTTTAATTTGTGCAGTTATAATTAATAATAATACAATGTTAATGTATTATTATAGAGATTTGATGAAACCAGATGTTGTATATCTATCAATGAAATTACTATAGACATCATTTTTAATTTCTTTCTAATATTTATAAGCAAAAATTTTAATTAAAACAGGAAATAAGCTAGATTATATGAAAATAATAGCTTAAAATATTCTTTCAGATATTTCTAAGCATCTAACACCCTGAGATACCTAATAATTCTGAAAATTCTTTGTAGGTAAGATTTTTCATAAACAAATTAATTCAATGGGCTCTATCACCTCATTGTCATTATCATCATCATCATTATTTTTAAATGATCAAAGAGGAAACGCAAAAATGCGCTTTATCGATTAAGTGAAAAAAAAGGAGTTTTTCATGAGGAAATTGGACCGTACTCATAATGGCTGTCAAGGACATTATCAGCGATGGTCATTAAATACATTATGGGCTTATATGTTGGCGTGGACAAAGGAACATCGAAAACTGGTCGAGCAGAGTATACCCGAAAGATGTCCCGCTACTAGTTCAGCTGAAAACATTAGCTTGTCTTTGGAGCACGACTAACGGACATGTTGTGTGTAGCACAGCAAGCATCGATCGATGAAACTCAGAAATGTATAGTCAACGTTACATATGCTTGAAAAATGATGGGTTTCCCCGTGATTAATGTAATACTGTATCGACTCGTTTCGAATCGCACGACGATGTCTACTCGAAACATTGTAACAACGTTTGCACGTTGCGTCGCATTACGTGTAAAAGCATAAAATTATAATAGAAAGAGAAAAAAATACCCATACGATAAAGTAAAGCATAATAACCATACCCACGTTTAAAACGAATAAATAGAAATATAATAGAAAAGTAATCGGCAAATTACAGGCGCTAGAAGTTGTTAAACAGAGCACAATGAAACGCGTCGTCTGCACGTCGTATAGAAAAATAAATAGATTGGAGTTACCTTACCCACGAATCACGTTCATCATTTTAGCATCATTATCATTACAACTATCATAATTCATCATCATCGATGCAATAGCATAAACATTGGATCGATATACAACATCACATTATTTTGCAGCATATCTCATTGTCATCGTTACAGCATTGCCAACAGTGCGTGTAACATATATATTTTTTTAAATGTCGACGTCGCACCGTCAGAATTTCTTCGCGTGTAGACCCGTTTTCTGTCTCGTTCATCCGCTTGCATATACATACATATGTACGTAAATTATGTATACATGTATGTATGTACATCACGTAGTCGCTACATGTGTGACACGTGTAGATAGCTGTGTAAATCTGTCTGTGTAAATATGTCGTCTGCGAAGTCGGGAAATGTATACAGGAATACCTTCCCTCCCCGGAAGAATCACGTGCATATTTTCTCGATTCTAGAATTTTTCATGTACAAGAGAAATCTCATCGATAAAATGTAGTTCTTCAATGCTCTCTGGAAAATGAAAATTACGTGCAAGCATTGTAGTAAACATTTATATCTACGTACCGAGACATAAACGTTTACACATTCAAATATTTGGCAACTGATGCTTGTACAAAGATAAAACTTATGTTCTTATCCAATGACCATTTATTCGTTATCAATCGCAACGGTTTCGATCTTGTTACAAGCTCTTCTCAACGAAAATTCTATAATTTCTTCAAAGATATATTCACAATCTTAGAATTTCATTTGGCGGATCGTAATTATTACGCCAATTATTATGCCAATTGATCTTAAAATTAATTGTAGAATATTCGCTGAGAAGGGCCTGCAACGAGGTCGAAAACGTTATTATCGGATAATGCTCATTAGCTACAAACGTGAGTTTATACGTGTAACTGAAATTTCTATGGATAACGTGAAGTTTCATCGAAATAATGTACAGCTCGACACTTGTAAATGGACGGAAAACGTTGCTTCGTTACGAAAATGACCTTGACCTTTGAACGATATGTCAAGGCATTGTTCGCGCGTATAAAGCGAAGGCGTAATTTTAGAATAGTTTGGCTAGCTTAATTTCCAAGCAATGAAGAACCCGATGAAAGTACATAAAGAGAACAAAAATGAATTACGTGTACCCGAACAACAGCGTAATGGGTTCGCTTTTCCCCGCGGTGCCAATGGTATATGCCGAACGAAAAGCGGGGGACAGCACAGAGCCTCCGGAGAGGGGGTCGACGTGTGACGTGGTGGTAATACAGTCATAGAAAATTTCGACTGTTTTGTTTGGTGAATAAAAAATGTGGAGGCAAACCTTTGGATTAGAGTCTCAGCCGCGGAAACACTCTCTAATGCCATTGTTTTGTCCCGATCGATCGTGTTTTGTACCGTATGATATAGCACTGTGGCCCGACGATGATCATTCGATCGATTGACGCGACCACACTCGATGGCTCTTTGTTTGCGAAATAATCGCGTGCCTGAATTCTAGCATTTGAAATTTGGAAAATACTCGGTTCTACGGGACACAAATTAGCCTACAGAATATATATACATATATGTATATATGTATATATACATATATATATATGTGTCGTGCGTCTTTCCGTTTCTCTTTCTCTCTCGATATTAACGTAGGGCGCGCGTGCGCGCACCAACAAACGAATGTACCAGTTTCGTTAACGTTTTCTGTCCCTTTTCATCAACTCGGTTACGCCCCTGTTTTTCTTTTTCTCTCGAATGTTCTTCACGCCTGAACACAGGCTTATTTTCGTACTAAATACTTTCTTCTATCCTCTGTTCTTATCCCCGTAATACTTATCAATGCACTTTAGATTCGGCGAAGTATGTATTACACTGTGTATCTCCTTTCTTCGCTATTAAATTTCGTTAAATGGCGTGATCTCGCCACTGCAACGTCATTCTGGCTTGACGTGGCATATGGCGGCTCGACGACAAGTTCGTAGGCGTCTTAGATTATCTCTTTCTCGTATGGACGTGAATGTATACTTGGCAAAAGCGTGTAAAAAACGGGGCGATGCTCGAAAGGAAATGCGCGTGCGTATTGTTCTTTCTTTTTTTTTTTTAGCAATCCGTACCGACAACGATAAAGGACAAAATCCAAACGTTTCTCCGAAACTACGACTCGAAGCTTCGAAGAATCTTGCGAAGCGTAGCTTCCACTTTGACGATTCCCGTCGAGAATTTGATAACGGCGTTCTCTATTTTCTTTTTCTTTTTTATTCTTTAAAATCTTTGGGAGAGAGAGAGAAAGGGAACGACAAATTGATCTGGCCTCGCCGTAGAAACAACTGCGAATTCGATCAGACGCGCTTCTGTTATTGACGATAGAATTATCGAAAAGTATCAGTATCCACGGACTCGACGCGATTTCATGTTTCCCGATGGATTTACAGGCGTTTTAACGTCTCTCGTGTTACTTCCGCGTTTGGAGATTAATCCCAGCAAAAGAAGAACATATGTATTTATGAACGAGACTAGCCGCAGGCAGGCGAAAAATACGATGGTCGGACAGACCGTATTACTGTGTCAGCAGATAGTATAAAAATGTATCAGTTATGAGACGATGAGCGAAAACTTCAAAGATCAAACTAAACATGGCCACATCTGGAACTATTCTGAGCGGGCAGCTGCACAGAACCTCGGAAGAAGGGCGAGCGAACGGCAACGGGTTAGGAGGGAAAGCGAGTTCGTTGCTCTCCGCCAATCAGGGAACGAGTTGATCGGTCACGTGTTGCCTCTTCCATTATTTCTATTCCCCCACTCTAACTTCCTCTCGTTTCCCCACTTTTCTCTGCCGTTCCGCTGTTTATGTGGAACAAATTCCTGAAGCCTCTGTTGACCCTTGGTTTTCTACGCACAACTCACCCGAAAGCGAGCTTATAAATATATTGTTCATATCGAAAACATCATGTTTCAGAATTTACTTCCATATTGGAAAGGATCTCGTTTGAGCATTTCCTTGATTCTATTATTATTGCGAAACTATACAAACTTATAAAAGAGGAATTGTATGAATAATCTTTTTCTCGATTACAATTGAGCATTTTAATTTATTTAATTCCATACTCCTTATAATGAAATAAAACAAATATTTTTTTCATATCATCGAATTGATGACCATCTATAACAAGACTTAGTTTAATGGTATCATATAAAATAGTAAATTAGAAATCAGTATTTGTGAATATAAAAATTTTTAATACACACATAATCTGAAATTTCTGTAAATAGGAATTTATTTCACATACGTACTCCTATATTTGTGTAAATGCCTATACTGTTCGAACTTTTTTTAAATCTATATAGTACAGTAACTTATAATTACGTATTTTTACAAAACAATGTCAGGTGAGGCATTAACATTAACATTACATCCACTCTTGAAAAATATACATTTCTTCCATAGATACTCTTTGTATTAAATAAAAAATTGAATAACTTTCACATATGTAGCAGTATAAAAAGGGAAAATCGTACAAACTGTAATTTTATTTTACTTGTTCGTGTGAACGATGATGAAAAACGAAAGAAATCCCACTTGACCAACATTGCCGTAGCGATAAATCTGGCAAATTTCGCGGATTATGGGCGTGCCTCCAATCTGATAGATCAGAATTGCAATCAGATTGCTCTGGTGGTCCTTTCACTTCTATACCATTAATACACCGTTTACATTTGAACCTAAAGTATAATCACAAAAATGTTCTCAATTATATTATTCATATAGTTCTTTATAATTTTAAATTATTTCATACGTACTTTGAATGAGTATCAGATATCGTATTTTCTTCCAGTTTAAACAAATCTCGTAAGTCGTTCAACGTGAAATGTCTTGCAACATCTTCCTCTTGATCTACAACTGTTGAACTTAAAGCCTTTTTATGTGCTTGTCTTTGGAAAATCTTTTCTTCTATAGTACCAGTCTATAACAAACAATGTGCAACATCTTTAACTGACTTGAAAAGTGATAGAAATTGTAGTAAGATTGTGTTACATACGCAAAGAAAACGGTATACGAAACATGGTTTCTTTTGACCATCCCTCCAAACTCGAGCCATAGCTTGATCATCGTTTGCAGGATTCCAATCAGGATCGAACATGACAAGACGATTTGCACCTATTAAATTCAACCCACACCCGCCAGCTTTCGAACTAAGCATGAAAATAAAATCGCTGCTGTCTGGGTTATTAAAATTTTCTACTACTTTCGCCCTTTTCTTAATACTCATTGTGCCATCGAGTCTAACGTAATTGTAGCATCGTTTGTGACACAGTTTTTCGAATAGATCGAGAGTTTGCGTATAATTCGACACCAATACAATTTTATCGTTTGTTGTTGTTTTAATGGATGCCAGAAGACAGTCTAATACCATTAATTTTCCGGACAATTCTGGTAAAATTTCTTTAGTATTATAGTTTGACGGCATTAATTTTGCAGCGTTTTCAAATCCCTCAGTTTTCCCTAATATTTTATCGTAAACTAAATCGGGATGATTGCACAATTTTTTCAAAAGCGTAATCGCAGAAAGTGCAGAAAGGCTTCTTCCTTTTTTCGGACCATCGGAATCCTCTTCCATTGATTTTTTTATGCTATCACTTTGTACAAAACTTTTATAAAGATCAGTTTGTAATTTGCCCATTTTTATACAAACTACAAGTTCGTGTTTTAGTGGTAAATATTTAGAAAGTAAAGCGCTGGTACGTCTAATGAGACATTTATTAACGATAGTTATTAATTCTGCTAAGCGTTCTTGAGCAACCTTGCGTTCGGTGTCTGTTGCAGCTGCATCTTGGCCTCGTAAAATTGGTATTTCAAATTTCTTTCGAAATTCCTGTGCAGTTCCTAACAATCCTTGATTCACGAAGTGTACAAGAGAAAAATATTCTAGAAGATCATTTTGAATAGGTGTTCCGCTAAGTAATACTCTTCTTTTAGCTTTCAAACTCATAAGCGCTTGGTAAGTTTGATTCTCGGAATTTTTTAAACGATGACCTTCGTCGCATAGTACGAGTCCTACTTCGTCTTGGTGGAGAACATGCGCATGTAAACGAAAAGTTTCATAGCTAACTATTAAAATGGGATTAGCACATCTACGACCATACGTTTTCATGAAACCTGTAAGTTTTGCATCGATATCTGCTTTGTTACCACCATCGATAGCTAGCGGTTGTACTCTATTTTTCAACCACTTAAAAATTTCATTGTACCAATTTTTAACCAAAGAACTTGGAGCAACGATAATAGCCTTCTCTATAAGTGGTTTAGCTTCAGGTCCTTTAAAATATCATTATCTGTTAACTTTTAATTTATGGCTGAACATTACAATTTGTATATAAATCAGTGATAATTCACCTTGTTTTAATAGAGTCCATAAAAGAGTTATGCACTGCAAAGTTTTTCCAAGACCCATTTCATCTGCCATAATACATCCATAAGCACCTTCTATGCGTTTTCCAGTTACACATTCATACATAAATTTAACACCTTCTCTTTGGTGAGGTCTTAAAATACTACATAGCAGAGGATCAACCACAACATGTACAAGCTGTTTAGATCTGAAACACATACATACAATTATGAACAATTTAAAGAGACTTAATGTTGAAAATATTATTTTATACTCACTGATCTAATTTTAGTCTATCATGTTCAGATAATTCAGGTGGTGAATAAACAATAAGAGCATTAGCTTCATCAGGATCATGTAATGGTCTTCGGGGACCAGATAAACGTGTGCCTAAAGCACGACCTGATAGTTGGTAACCAGGAATTGGTATCTTGAATGGTTTGTTGAGAAGTTTCTTTACCCTTTCTTCCTATAAATTCAGTGTTATTTTTTTTATGAACTATATGTTTTTATTATAAATAATGTGTTATTAAATAAATAAAAATACATACATGTTCAGAAATGACTTCTTGAGTTGCTTGTGCATCATTCGCTGAAAGAGCAATGGCTTTATATTCTGGTATTTTCACATCTCTGATATTACGACAAATTCTTTTTTTTGTCTGATATACTTGTGGCACAATTGGTGAAAAAGAGCCATTATTGGATATATCAGAGAGTAATGGACGCTTTCCTCTTTGACTAGGTGCAAAAGATCGAATCTTGCATGTAACAGTAAATATGAAAGTAAAATTTTATCACATAATATAATGTTATAATTATTTCATTATATGAATATGCATTTATTAAAAATTTAATAAGTATTAAGGTCAATTTAAAACGAAATTATCAAACTTAAATGCAGTGTAATCATTCTTAAGGAATGTAAACAATAGCCAAGTAAAATATAATGTGCACTTAATTATGATAACATACAAAAAATTAGTTATTAGTTATTAAAATTAAAATTATGTAAATTATGTATACAGAGTAAACCGAAGGTCTGGCATTCTATTTAAATAGTTTGTCCACAATAAATAATAATTCGTGATTATTACCATGTTATGTTTGGGGTTCAAAAGTCATAGAGGTTCAATTCAAGATCCTTCATATTGTTACAGCGAAATGTTATATATCGCATTTCATATTTTATTTACTAAATGCATTTTCAACTTTTTTCAATTAATACCATTAGTACTAAATAATAAAAAATTTCTGAAGTTTCAGAAATTTCGCGGTTATAAGTCATAAAGCGGTACACTTCACAACATCGTGTCTGATCGTGTTTAGAATCGAGCACACCTAGCGTTCGAAACTTGAAACAATTTAATACCGCTTTATTTAAATCGTACGCACATAGAAGTAATTTAATTCTGTAAATTTTTTTCTTTGTTTGTATCGATATTAATTATTTTATATAGATGTATAAAACACAAATAAATAGACTCATAATTCAGCGAATATATTTCCCAAGAAATTGGTACATAGATCATCTTCATCGTTTGCTTTATACTTATTATTGTATTTTATACACGGAACATTAAAAGTACATTTAACAGGTTTCGATAGTTTAGGATTTACATTTGGTTTTATATTATAATAATTTTCTAGAAATTCCAATACCGCAGATTTGGTTTGTAAATTATTGAAACACATTCTACTCTTCTTTGGAAGTAATTTTTCTAACATAAATACGAGATGATGATGAAAAGTTAAAAATTGCGTTGGTATAATCGATGTAATATCTAACCAGTCTTGTACACAACTTAGAGGTGTAACTGAGTGTCCAGAAAAAAATGCTGGATTTGTTAAAATCCCTCGTGCAGACATCACTGCCTCGCAATTAGATTCTATAAAAAGGTTTTCTGCACTTTCTAAGTCTTTCACATCTCCATTTGCAATAAGGGGTAACTTTACGCTATTCCTTACCAACTTTAAATGATCTATATTAATTGGTTCATTTCTCATTTCTGGAGTTCTGGCATGAATAGTAATAAAAGAGGCCCCTGCTTTTTCAAGAATTCGACAAAACTCAATGGTTTTATTAATATCTTTTAGCAATCGAATCTTTACAGATACAGTAAAAGGGTTTGGTATTCGATTTCTGACTTGATATATTATATCCTTTACAAGATCTGGGTTTTTAAGCAAATCAGCTCCATACCCATCTTTTATGGCCCAGCGTTGAGGACAACCACAATTCAGATCAACACCACTACAGTACCTGTTAGTTTAATCATTCATTAGATATAAAAATCTACATAGAATTGTTTCATTTTTATGAAAACTCACGGAGCAACCATTTCTGCTGCACCAACGAAATCGTTCACAGTTTTTGCAGCAAATTGAACAACTAGTGGTTTATCTTCATTAGTTGTTGAAAATTCATTATCCCTGGCTTTATCAGATTGTACAAACGAATCAGCTAAGATCATAGGAGTGAAGCAAATGTCACAATCATACTGTTTTACCAAAGTCCTAAATTGTAATCTGTTAGAAAGTTCAATTTTAAAATATAATTATTATCGTACATATATTAAAGATACATGTAAATAACCTTTGTCATTACTCACTTGCTGTATCTGACCATTGGTGCACATACTTTTATCATTCTTGATTCCTTTAGCATTTCTAATATATCAATTGACATATTGCTTTTGTGTATTGTACGAAGAAAAGCACAAAGATATGTATTATTAAAAATATATCTCTTCCAAACAATGAATAAACTTTCTTTCATGTAATATCTGCATTTCTTTTATAGAAATATTTTTCAATTCTGATATTTTATAACTCGATAAAAGCATTTGAAACTATTAGTTATCAACAATATAAAATATAAATATTGGTAAAATGTTTATATTGTTTATATTACACTTTGCATAACATTAGACGATATTTCTGTAATGCTTAATATTAATTAAATCATCATATTTAATTGTTTTGTTCCTGCCTTTTTTAACTGTATCAGATATATTAAGTAATTAATGTTTCGGAAGTATTATAGATTATATATAGCATAAAAATCGGGTCAAAGTTACAGTTAGGAAAACACAATGTGCATTTTCTGGTCGTTATAACATACATTATCGACATTTCATTGTTTTATCCAAATTGATTTATGTATTCACGATGTGTTACAATAACTGTCGTAAGTATTATTTAGTTTAATTTTGTTCTAAACAATTTAAACTCATTACTCGAACATAACCTTGTTAATCTTATTATTCATATACTTACAATTAATGAACCCATAAAGCTTGTATTTTAAAAAATGCGTCAAATATAATAAATACTTATTACTAACAATGCAACGCCTTTTTTTTTATATATGCACACTAAACTAATACATCCTATAAATATTTTTAGCCATAAAAGTTTTCGTTTTTAACGTTATTTAAATAAAGAAAGAAAATTAGCGATAATTTATAGAATTTAAGATTAACCAAGAAATGATTAATGAGTTATTCTCATTTTAATCATACAAAATTCATTACAAAGCAACCTGTTGCATTGAATCACTTTAATTTTAAAAGGTCCAACAGAAGAATGTCCTCTAACAAAGAATAGAAGTTATAAACATAAATTAAGTATGTACTGTGGAGATGGTTTAAAATTTATTATAAGCTGTTTTACCATTTTGACCATTTCTATTACGACAACGTTAGTTTTACAAATACTTTACGCAGAGAAAAATCCTCAGGTATGTAAATCATTATAAAATACATTGTGATGGAACTATAAATGGCATGTATAATATTGCTTTGACTTAGGACTATGCTGGAATTCATGGAGCAGTTGCAACTGATTATACAAATTGCTCACAAATTGGAACTAAAATATTAAGAAAGGGAGGTAATGCAGTAGATGCAGCTATAGCAGCTACAGTTTGTATGACAGTGGTAGCACCGCATAAAACTGGTCTGGGTGGGTAAGTCATATGCAAAGCCTCATTAATATTTGTTAAATTTTTGATTATAATTTCAGGGGTGGCTATGTTATGATGTATAGTCATAAAGAACGAACTAATCCAGTTATTATTGATTTTGTCGATGATACGATCGTAGGTAAATGATTGAAATTTATTTATTTAATTCATAAATGTTTCATAGTATTCATGTAATTTATGAATTAGGGTCATTTGCACAAAGTAGAGTGCGTCTACCAGCTGTATTAAAAGGATTAGAATATGCACATACCTTAAAAGGTAAATTACCATGGAGTGAAATTATTAAACCTTCTGTAACTTTAGCTAAAGAAGGATTTGTTGTATCAAAGGAATTAGCAAGCGAAGTATCAAAAAACGTTGATTATGAAATTTTATATGGGCACCTTACTGCAGGGGATATATTAAAATTACATGATCTTGGTGATATGTTAACTGCTGTAGCACAACAGAGTGCTACTGGTATGTACCATATTAACAGTAATGAAATAGTAATTTTACAGTGAATATTTTGTAATACAAAATTCCTTATTTTGTTTCATTTCAGTATTGTATAATGGAACATTTTCAGAGAACCTTTTACATGACAAAGATCAACTTCCAAAGTTGTTAATACAATTAGCAAATTACAAACCCCGTGTATATTTAGCAAAAAAATCTAGTTTTTATAAGCATGCCGTGTATTATGCTCCACATATGTCATTGTTACAATCAATGATTGTGTCATTGAACAATCTCAATATATCCAATGGAAATGCATCCACAATAGAAACACAAATTCGCGTAGCCAAAGCATTGATACAGTCGACATTGACTCCATTGCAACTACAACAAAATGGTTTGTAGTGTCTGTTATATTATGATCTTTGTTCTACAATAAACGTTTTACATCAGTATTAATTTTATGAAATGATAATTGTAGCCGAAGAAGAAAAATATACGGGCGTCATGGCTATGGATTGGGAAGACACTTATGTTTGTATCGTAACGTTAGTATTACAAACTATCTGTGTACTCTACTTAACAAATTAGTTATTTGAACACATTACAGAGGACTTAGCGCGCCGTTTGGTCTTGGATACATGTCAAATGCAGGCTTTCTGCTAGATAAGACTGATACAAATAATAGTTTATCTATGCTCTCTCCAATCATTTTTTATAACGAAAAAGCGGTATGTGGCTTGCGAGGAGTATTTGGAACAGATGATACATTAATCATTGGACAATTGTTATATAGTATTATAGTACGTAATTTAAACATTTCTGAAGCCATTGAATGTCCAAGGTACAAAATCTGTTTTATACTTTATATTGTAATGCCATTGAAAACATTACTCCTTGAATGAATTGTTTTATTACTTATAGGTACTATTTCTCATTGGATGGGCTTGCTGTAGAAAGTGATCAGAAACATTCTGTGAGTATCCAATTACGAAATCAGTTAAGCTCAATGATACCAGTACCATACGTGGATACGGATCTAACATCAAAAAGCGTGAATGCAATTATAAAAAGGAAAGATATAATGTCGAGTCATTCAGATAGCCGAGGAGGTGGTCTTGCATCAAGATTTTAAAGATTTATTCTTAATTTTTTCTATCAAAAATAATATATTCAATGATACGTATTATTTTATAAACATTATTTTTTAATTATTTTCATTTACTTATTTTTACACCATTTTTTATACAATAAAAGATATAATAAATTTGTCTATGTTATATATAAAGTATGTACTTTTATCTAGGTAGGTATGTATTTAATATAATTAAATTTCACAGTTCAGTTTTATATTATTCTTTTTACAGTAATTGTTGTTTATCCTCTTTGTATTCTCTGCTTAAATCAAGTTGTCTTAATCTGGCATACATTGCACTAGCGCCAAGAACAATTACATTACTTATCCACCACATAAATGATCTTTCTTCATTGAACCAGTAAGTTGCCAAAATTGTTTGAGCACAAGCTTTAGCAGTTCCACTGATGTTATGTGTCAAAGGAGATGTTACTTTTATTTGGAGTGCTGTAACATAGCCAATAGCAAATCCACAAATACCACCGACAACCATAGCAGACCAAAATAATAGGGACCCAATTTTATCGTAATTATATACTGTAAGATGTTCTCCATTTGCTATCATTAGTGGAAGAAATATAAAAACGCTGTACGCATTGTTGTAATAAGAAAGTAACCAAATATCTTGGTTTAATTTTGGAAGAACTTGCTTCATATGAATGGAATATAAACAAAGTGTTAATGATCCAAGTACACCAAAAATTGTTCCTACAATAGATAAAGAACCAGCAACGTGTTCTTGACCCACACCAAGCCAAAATCCGATCACAATAAATCCACAGCATGCAATGCATTTTGCAGAAGTCTTTTGACCTGTGAAATTATAATTCACTATAATTGCTGACTTTTTATTCTTCTACTAGAAGATTCTTACCCAGTATAAGATATGTGAAAATGACATTAAATACAGTTGTTAGAGAACGTCCTACATAATAAAATGCAACATCAACATATTTCAAACATAAATTGTTAGTTGCTATCATCCCAGTAAACAAAAGGGACAATGGTAATACCTACAAGTATGATAATTGTAGATACAATCTTTTATTACCAGTTTTTTAGATTATAATTATTACCTTCCTAAGATTTTCTCTAGTATACGGATTCCCACTTGAAAACTTAATATGGTTTGGGAACCATTTTGATAGATTATTAAGAGTTGCACAAATAATTAAGCTTACTATACATTGACACCATGTTACAAAAAGTGGTGCATCTAAATTTATAAGTTCGCTGGATAAAAGAGCTTTGTTTATAAATACTGTTAATATAGAAATTATCCTGCAAAAAATATTCAATTATATAAATGAAATTCTTATTCTAAAATTATCATTTTTACTCTGCTACAATTTCTTTTAACTTACCAGTATACTGAAACAACAATTGCGATATATACGAACTTTGAAAACATTCGATTTTCTAACTCCATCGTTATTAATACTTAATTTAGTTTATCGTTAATATTTGTTTAAATTAATGTGGCAGTGTACTTCTTTATTGAAAAAATTAATATATAGTAAATATAAACTATATTGTATTTATCGTATAAAAAGCATCATCAAAGTATTAATAAGTTATTTTTATACCATTTTGAATCAAATACTTTTATATTAAAACGTCGATTCGAATAATCTTTTATTAAACAAAATTTGTCCAGAATATAAATGTTAGGGCAGCGGTGTATAAATTATCCTAATTCAACTACAATTTCAATTGCATGAGTTTCAATTAATAGATAAAACGTATTATGTCATTTTTTTGAATCTGTCAGTTCCTGTAATTTCTTTTTAAGGTTATGCCACGCAGAAATCATGGTCGCATTATAATACATGTTTGGCTACAGTTCACTGATTACATTTATCATTATTTACTTTGATATCTGCCTGTACAGATTGCTTAGTAAACAATGTTTTAATCTTCTGATCCGATTTTTAAAATATTTTAACATTGTATTCATATTACATTAACACAGTACAATGTTTAAAAACCATGATTGATAACGGTCAAACTCCTGTAAGTTTATAAGCAATCATTTCTTCTGCGTCTTGTATCGAACAAGAATGTAAGTATTGTCAAATCAGTTTATCAATATACAGGGTGTCCCAAAAATGTTGGAACACCTTGAAAGAGATGGTTCGAGAGGTGATTTGAAACAACATTTTCCTTAGCGAAAATGTTGTCAGAGGCTTCGTTGAGGAGATATTAACGGAAAACACTGACCAATCAGAGCGCGCGTATACTGTTGCAGCGACTAGGCGGCCGCGCTCATACGCTATCGCGGGTGCTCCATCGGCATATTCGCGCTCTGATTGGTCAGTGTTTTCCGTTAATATCTCCTCAACGAAGTCTCGAATAACATTTTCGCTAAGAAAAAAGTTGTTTCAAATCATCTCCTGAACCACCTCTTTCAATGACTTCCAATAATTTTGGGACACCCTGTATTTTCAAACGTTGATATGCTGGCAGAATTAAATTTAACTTAATCGTAATGTGATGCAAGTTAAATAATTAGCTTTAAATATTAATGATATTTTTTATATAAATATTTATGTAACGTAGTAAAGTTAGTTGTGGCAAAATAAGTACGTATTATGTAGTGTTATATAGTAGCGATTGAAAGTGATTCAAACTGACATATAAATGTTGACACGTGGTATCTAGTATTCGGCTATTTTCGACTTATGTCGTCGCAATGGACAACTGAAAATTAGTAGTCGCGTAAAATAATTTGTATCAACTAAAAACATGTTTTGAATGATTTACGTTCGTTTGTTACCGTTAAACGTTACATTTTTTTCGAGGTAGATGTAAGTAAACGTTCGAAGGAACTGTCGGGCGACGGGTACGTATTAAATATGTCTTGTATTCGATCGTTCAATCAACCACTGTATTTATGGAATTATTATTTGGCTTTCGTCTTTAATTTAATACAAATGGAATCCATTGAAAAATCGTATAAATTGCCGACATAATTTATTACTTCGTTGTAAACAATCTTTTATAGTCTGCTTACACTACGTATTACCGTCAACATTCTGTTTTCTTGACGATTGTTAAAATGTACTTAGAAGAATATTTTTTACAATTCATTATATAAGGAGTTAAGAAGTCATGACCTTTTTAAGTTCTCACTATTACCAAGAAATCACTCAGTATCTTATTAATCGTATGAAGTTCGACGAGTTAGTTAATTTTAAGCTACGTAAATCTCGTAAACTTAACGTTACATAATTGTCTAATTTTTTGTTTTGAACTAATCTTTTTTCGATGCATTCGAATATTATTAGAAGTAATTAATTTACGATAAAAAAGAATAATTATTTCTAAGAAAATTCTGTGCTTTATCTACCACTACATTGTAGGTGTACTTACATTGATTAACATTTTGTATTTGGCTAACGTTTATACAGATTACATTGTAAAAGTGTATTTTTTCAATACTTTCACATTGTTTTTACAGACTTGCAACTAGTTATTACAATCCCCAAACATGTCACAATATGAGGATTTCATTGTGGAAGACAAAGGAAGCGATGAAAATAGTACAATAGAATCAGGAATTCGTCATAGAATTCCATGGAGTGATCGTGTATCATTGAATAGTGAAATACCTGGGTTACATGAAGTTAAAGAATTGTTAGATGATGATGATGCCAGCTGTTTGGCAGAAGAGGAAGATGGAGTTGGGTGTCCTCTACCTTCGACTCCAGAAGATGATCACCTTTTGGATTGTGAGGTATGTAATTATAAGTTTACACAATTTAAATATCTCATGAATTACTGCCAACATTAACTTTAACTTAATTATATTATTAGATGACAGAGGTGTTGAAAGCTGGTGTATTAAGCGATGAAATTGATCTGGGTGCATTGGCACATAATGCTGCTGAGCAGGCTGAAGAATTTGTTCGCAAGGTAGATATGTATAGATGTCTTTACTTACTCAAATATTATAATTTGTATTTTTAATATTTTTAAATAAAATATGTAATGTATAAGAACCATATGTTGAATGTAGAGTAAATTTTTAAAACATGATCACTGAATGGTTATTAAAGGTATGGGAAGCATCGTGGAAGCAATGTCACTTTAGAAACCTCCCGAGATGGTTACAAGATAATGATTTCTTGCATGCTGGTCATAGACCACCGTTACCATCATTTTATGCTTGCTTTAAAAGTATATTTCGAATTCATACAGAAACTGGAAATATTTGGACTCATTTACTCGGTAAGATTAAACATTTTATTTATCACTTAAATGTTATTTATTTACTTGCACGCGATGCTCTAGTAATCGAAACCATTAACTATACATGCAAAAAAGAGTTTTATTTTGCTCGTTCGCTAATTTCTAACAAATTAATATATGTCATTTAGGATGTGTGGCATTTATTGGCATAGCTATATTTTTCATAACACAGCCTCCTATAGAAATACAACTGGAAGAAAAATTGGTATTCGGTACTTTCTTTGCCGGTGCTATCTTATGTCTGGGACTGTCATTTGCCTTTCATACAGTACACTGCCACAGTGAATGCGTTGGAAAGTTGTTCTCAAAACTAGACTATTGTGGAATAGCTATGCTAATTATGGGTAGTTTTGTGCCATGGTTGTATTATGGTTTCTACTGTGATTATCAACCTAAACTTATTTACTTATCCGTGGTCGTAATACTTGGTGTAACAAGTATTGTTGTATCATTATGGGAAAGATTTGGTGAACCAAGTTACAGACCATTAAGAGCAGGTGTTTTTATGGGATTTGGTCTTAGTGGGGTAAGGCATATGCATTATATATATCCTGTCTAACAAATAAATTATCAATTATATTGTGTAATATACTACCACATAAAAAAATTCTATTTATTGTAGGTAATACCAGCTGTGCATTATGCCATTGCAGAGGGTTGGTTTAAAGCAATTAGTCAAGCTTCTCTTGGATGGTTAATATTAATGGGATGTTTATATATCTTAGGTGCAATGTTTTATGCATTAAGAGTACCTGAACGATTTTTCCCTGGCAAATTCGATATTTGGGTAAATATATAATTTTTTCTAATATATTTTGTAGGTAATGATTTACTGTATTAAAACGTTATACTATTTAGTTTCAGAGTCATCAAATTTTCCATGTATTAGTAATTGCCGCTGCTTTTGTTCATTATCATGGAATAACTGAGATGGCTATGTATAGAATGACAATAGGGGACTGTACAAATCCATCGCAGGTGATAGCCTTTTAACTATGCACTGGGGATATGATTGTGTTGTTGGATTTCATCTTATGTGTAATTTTATGGTGACTCAGAAAATTCCTAAATCTTTGGGTGTCAGTAGATCTGTACTATCAAAGAACTGCTGGAAACAATATCGTTAAAATGAAGGGTAACAAGACTTCTCATTCTTTATCATAACTAAAAAAATTTAATATAGAGTTTATAAAGATTCTATAAAAACAATAAAATAATACATGTGATAATAAAGATTACTCAGATCAATTTATAATATTTAATAGAATCTTTTTACATCTTCGTAAATCTGAATCCCTGATAACAAAGATAACATTACATTAATGAACAATAATATAAATAATTTATTTACTAATTGCAACTATTGTAAAGAGAAAACAGATAATATGATCGACTTTTTGATTTATGCAGTTCTCTTGTTAAGAAGAAATTAATAAAAATGATAAATTATAAAACAAAGTACAGAGATATATGACAACGACATAAAACTTAATTATATTAAGATTTAGGAACAAATTGTAACTACAAATGATTTTATAGCGTAAGCACTATAAAAGTTGTACTACATCTTGAACACAAACATTGTTAAGCAATGAAAACTATTATAATGATTATGGGAACTATAAAAATTTAACTTCTTTTGGATCACATTTGTAAGAAAAAGTAACACTGGTTTTTCCAGCATGTATATATTCAAAAATTTATGTATGATAATTTTGCACTCTAGCTTTCTACTTCAAATGATGATTGCAGTTTCCATTGTACAGTACTAGTAAAATAATCTTTATTAATACAGTACTTGTTAAACATTTTCAATTTTTTGTTCTTTCTTATTAACCTGTATGTATCGTGGAATACAAATTTCATTTTTAATATAAAAAATGTTAAATATTTCTGTTATTATTGTAGGGTTTAGATCTTATAAAAAGATATTGTTGAACTTTTTACATAAATAATTCTTAATATTGGTAAATTAATAAAGAAGATAATTATGCATTTCACATGTAAAAAACACAATTATCCTACTTTATGTAATTTCCCAAAATATATTTTTCTAAACAAATATTGTAGTGTCATTTCTGGACTACATAAAGGTCCTATAAATTTCTTTATCTAATATAATGAACAACAATCAAAATATCTGGAAATGAAAATCGGATTTAAAAGTGCTTTCTCATATGGGTCAAATTAAAAAATAATATTAAAAAATTAAAAAATAATCAGAACAAATGCCTGCTAAAAATTGCGACTAATTGATTTTTTATTAACGTTCGATAACAATCACATTGTTTCGAAGTTTCATTGATACCTTATTCAATTTCAGAAATAATTTTGATGTTCATTTATATATTTTTTTAAACGTACGAAATACTTGTATAAACAAATGCAACAAGCGATATTAATTTTCAGAGATTATAATCACGAATAATATATCGATTACAACGATCATATTCATTAAACGAAATAATAAAACTTTTTCTTTATTAATTTTTGTTAATCATTTATTTACCAGAGAAACGCTATGCATCGTATATACAGGGTGTCCCAAAAATGTTGTAACACCTTGGAAGGGGTGGTTCGGGAGGTGGTTTGAAACAACTTTTTCCTTAGCGAAAATGTTGTCCGAGGCTTCGTTGAGGAGATATTAACGGAAAACACTGACCAATCAGAGCGCGCGTATACCGTTGGAGCGGCCATGGTAGCGAAGGCTATATGCTAAGCGGTCGCGCTTGTACGCGAACAAGTGACTCGTCGCGTATGGAAGGACATTGGATGCGGCCGCCTAGCACGTAGCCTTCGCTACCATGGCCGCTCCAACGGTATACGCGCGCTCTGATTGGTCAGTGTTTTCCGTTAATATCTCCTCAATCGAGCCTCGGACAACATTTTCGCCAAGGAAAAAGTTGTTTCAAATCACCATCCGAACCACCCCTCTCAATGTGTTACAACATTTTTGGGACACCCTGTACATATAATTTTGCAGATCCAGTAATAATGACAATGACAGTTTTAAAAACCGCGATTTCCACGTATAAAAATCTGTTTTAATTAAAAGTTTCGAATCGTTTTATTATTTCACGTATCGTCCGAGTGCTACGAAAGATGTTAAAATCGATACTATGGATAAAATATCTCGATAAGACATCGATAGATAGTGGTTCGGTAGTTTACTTCATGTATTTCGTGTTGTGTGCATCTTGCAAATAAAGCAAAGTTGCATTGCTATATTACAAAAATGTAATGTTAAACTGGACAAGAAAACGTCTGTACTTTATTTGACGAAAAGATGAATGCCATGTCACGAAAAGAACCACGGTCAATTTACCGTAATGATTAACCAAAGAGGATATAGTTATTTATTTCAACAATTCGTAGACCAAGAAATTGAAAACATGTAACTGCATTTGTCGACTATTTGGTATCCGTGCCGTAAGAAATTAATAATTCTTAAGTGAAAAGTAAAATCAAGAAGATTTTCGAAAGAAGTGTACAAAAAGTCAATCAATGATATTTTCGACGATGTGAAATTCTTATCGCATTTTCCTATTGATAGTATAGCATGAAAATTTATCAAGATGCATAGTTATCTATTCGTTAACGAATCCAATCCAACAAATGTGATCTCTATTTCATCTAATTTACATTTTGTAACGATAAACGTGTGACAAAGTAATGCATTAACATATTATGTATATTCATATAAAAACAAAGTAGTATCTGGTATTAATATAATTAATATATCGATAACAAAGTATTTAATGTTTTGCTTTTTACACATTATGTTCACTGTTTTTTGTAAAACAAGGTAAACATGTAACAAAAAAGTCACATGTGTACAATGTTAAAGTTTCAATTTCTGTATCTTTAAAGTTATGTTCTTCATAAAATCAAATGCAGTTTTCTGATTGATAACAATGAATGAAATGAATGTAACAAGCGCCACAAATTCTGTAACATCTGTGATGTTACACGATAGTATCAGAAATTATACTACCACCATGGCAAATAATATATCTGACGAATCATCCGAAGGATATATGTATTCTACAGAAGAAAGTGGAACTAGTCAACAATTATGGAATGTTTCTAAGGCCACAACTTCATTGCCTAATAGCACGCTAGTTTCCTTTGACACTTCAAGCACCAGTATATATATGTCTACAACAACAGAAGCCTTTGATGAATTTGGTCCACCAGATGGAATAGAATACATTTTTGTACCACTTGGTGTAGTGGTCTTTGTTATTGTGTTATCAGCTGTGGTATGGGTAGCGATATCACTTTTGTATTTAAATCATAATCTTTCTCTGAAATTCATTTGCAGAAAACAAAAGCATAAAATAAAAATTATGATCAAATTATAATGCTTGGATAAATATTTCTACATTAGGTATTATTACCTTTCTGCAATATAGTCTAAGTTTATTGATCAGTTTGTATTGCAGTATTATATTTAAACTTTTATTAATCCATAGCATTTTTTTGGAAGAAACATAATTTTTTTTTTTATTAGCAAAACTTAGATATTTTTATACTACTTAGAGTAATACATTCTATTAATAATACATCATACTTTTAAAGGTGATAATTATATCAAGAAAAAGAAAATTAGAGCGATTAAGGCATAGACTTATGCCAATGTATAATTTTGATCCTGGAGAAGAAGAAGAAGATGACTGGGAAACCGAATTATTGGAAGAATGTTATAACAATCATCAAAGACGCGTGCGTACAATAAATGTTTTCCCTCTACTAATTAATATATTCTTAAAATAAAGTGATTTATTTTACAGCAAGGATATCAATCTATGGATACCGAGGAAAACGCTGAACTTTTTGGAAATCATTAATAAAAACGAAAATAGTCGTTTAAGTACATATTGTCTACATTCTGACATAGATTAATAATTACAGTATTTATTAGATTTATATGGTTACGTAATGCTTGAACAGATTGTATATATCTCGATTCAGAACGAAATCAAATTCTACAAGTTTTATATAAAGTAACATTTTTTTCAAACATTAGAATACTAAGTTTTATCGAAAATTCTGTAGCACTATAGTAAAACTGACTTCATTTATGTGAAAACCATAAAGTAGATTCATGTTTCATAAAACAATTCCATAATAGAGAAATGTGAAAAAACAAAAAATGACAAACTTTATTTTATCATTATTATTCATTGTACACTGTTTATAACAGTCTTTTTATAAATGTAAAATTTTTGCTACGTGCTTGGGAATTAATTATATGTATATATATTTTTTGTTCCATATCCTTTCCTTTACAGATAATATAATGAAACGAAATTTTCAAAAGTAAATTATAACACGATGTATTGCCATTTTGAATTATCTACCTAAAATATTAGATTACTTAATAAAGTTAATGATGGTCCGATTATAATACATTAGTGTCATTTAAGTATTGTAATCCAAGAATAAAAATCCAGTAATTTCAACTAGAATATAACGTGTATAATTAAACAAGAATGCATGTATACAATGTAGGAATTAAGAGATTCACCTTACAAGTTTATTTACTTTAATACAAATTTGACATTCACACATATGCTTGCCTCAAGAATGTCAATGTTCACATTTAAGTTTAAAAAAGGATATTCTTTGCACATAGTACATACAAATATTTTAATTTTGTTCTATTTCTTATAGCATTAGATCTATATGAATTTTTTTTGCTTTACGAATTACAATACACACACATAGGAGCAAAGGAAGTAAACAAATAAGATGTAATCGTATATTATATATATCTTAAAAAAAATTTGCCTTCTTATTCATATAATCAGTATAAGAGATCTGAATTTTCAAAGTTCTTTCATTAAAATATTTATACATTTCGTATTGATACTTAAAACATAATAATAATTATAGTAATAATAATAATTATAAAAAACGAAGTAAATACTAGAAAGGAGCGTATTACATATTCTTAATGCAAGTTTTATGTGCATTTCATCCATTTTTCACAGATATAGTCGTTACAAATTACGCTTTTTGTTTTGTTTTAATAATGTCCTTCGAACTTGAGCAGTTTTAAAAATAATATTACCGCTTTACTATTTCAATCTGCAGATTATGATATAAAAAGCGAAAATAAAAACTTTAAATTTATCAGTTTTTTAAAAATGTTTCAAAGAATCAGTGTGATACATTGAAATTATTTCTTTATATTTAATTCTCTTCCTCTTCCTCCTCCTCCTCCTCTTGTTCATCCTCTTCTTCACCAGTACTTTCTGGTTTTTCTTCTTTCTTTTTTGGTCTACCACGACCGCGTCCAGAAGAAGTTCCTTTGGGAACTCCTTGCTGAAAATTAATACATATTCTCAATTAACAAGATACACATCAAAGACTTTAAATTAAATAATACAGAATTTTCTTAAAGACTAATTATTACTCACCTTCTTTTTGTGAGAGCCCTTTGGCCGACCCCTACCCTTTTTTACAGGTACAGGTGATCCATCGTCTTCATTGTCAGACTTTGCAGCTCGTAATGCATTGTTTTTCTCTAAAGTGGGTCTCCCTCTTTTTTTGGGTTCTTTGACAGCATTTTTTTCCCCTTTCGATGGCCTACCTCGCTTCTTCTTTTGCTCCTCCACAACAGGCGATGAATTATCGTCTGACATTTTTAATCCTACCACTGTATAATCATAAAAATTTTGTTCTTATATATTTATATTCACTTTAACATACGAAACAACACACAAGAAACTCATTGTAAAATTCAGAAATCTTATTTACAGTGGAAAAAAAAAAGAATGATACAGAATATAAACAAAAAGATAACACGATTACAATGTTTTGAAGTTACATATAATGTATTTATACGCTGAGGGAGAATACAGAAAATATCGTGTGTTTATTGATCTTAAAATCTTCTCGTAAAAACCATACACTTTCAATTTGTAGCTGCAATTTGACAACAACAAGAAAAGAGTATATACAGTTTCTGATAAACTCGTAGAAAAATAAAATTGCAGAGTACTAATTGTGCTCCATAAAAAACGAGTTACGCGCCTAGAGCGTGCATTTGTATTGAATATCGTTGAACGGCGGTTTCACGACCGGCTATCCAATTGTTACGATTCAACCGCGACAATTACGCGAAATCAATTGTACCAAGCGATTCATGAATGTAAATAAAAGAGAAAAAAAAATATCATTATCTTTTTGTAATACAACGAGATCGTAGAAAGTATTCTTATTAATTTACTTCGATCGCTTGCAACAATACAAGAGTGGTTTCTAAAATTTCCGCGCCCGCCATTTTCAAAAATATTAACAATACCACACGTTGCTGATATTTCCGTACGAATAAGCACAAATAAAAATATACAATCGTATCAAACGGTCGACGTGTTCAACGTCTATTTATAATGGAAAAAAGAATAACACGACGGAGGCTCGCTATTAAAATTAAACGCAAAAGCATCGCCTAGTCGAAACGGACGCCATGATCGACAAATCATGGCAACGCCAGAGTCGTGGTAGCGTCCATCAAAGGTCTCACGTTGTATAAGTAAATGAATAAGTATGCTGTAAGTAATAATCGGCTCGGATCGAAAGACCGACCAAAAAATTGTCGAAACAATCGTTTTCAATTAACTCGATCATCCATCCTCGCGGATGCGTACGGTCGTCGGACGAGTAGAATATTTACAGGACTGAAAGACGTTGATAGTCACTCACCTCAAATTTCTCGTATATACGGAGACAAAGCAATCGTTCGGCCGGCGCGCGCGTCGTGGCGTGAGAAAACCGGGCTATACCTCTGCACTGTATAGTATATTAAATCTTCCTCGTATTTTCTTCTGTATCCCTTGTACACGAACAAAATCCACTATCTTTCTCTTTTCTTTTAATACCACCTCCGGCATCCACTGCTCGAACTGTGATTCGAACACAATTTACTGTGCGAATAGCCGAGACGCGACTGATCTGGCACCACTGGCAGAGACGACGCACTGGACGCACTGCACTGTAGACCAACGCTTTGCAAGCGTCGCTTGCTGCCCTAAGAACCAGACCCCCACTCTTCGCTTCTGTTCCCGCCAGAAAGTCGCGATATTACTTCGAATAATTATTTTTTTGTGAATTATCATTAAATGCTCGTACTTAATATTGTCCACGATAAAATGGACCTCGCGAGAATTTATAAAATACTTCGAATGAAGTTTTTCATAATAATTTAATATGCACGTGAGCTGAGGGGGAGTTGATAATTTGGCGGGAAGACAGATAAATAGCGGAGCAAATGTTACTGGGTGGTTTCATCTTAGTCTTGGTCCAGAGGAAGAGAATAAAGATGAACTTTATATACGACTGAATCGAAATGTAAGATGGAAGGGGCGTATACAATTAGGAAATATTCGATTTATTTGTATACAGTGGGTGTAGAATGTATTCGTACACCGATCAATTTCCCAAAAAACTTCTGTGTGAAATTATAGTTTCTTAACTTCTTTTTTTATAATCAATGATATTTTACATATTCTCGGAAGTCTCTAAGGATAGATATAGTTCAAACTAGTTGATATAATTTGTGAAATTAACAAAAAAATGCGAAAAGTGGGTAAAAGTATAGAAGCAATAAGTATTGCTTCTATATTGTTATAGAATATTTTCGGTATTTCTTCAAACGTGTAAAATTTTTTTTTAATTTTATTGGAGATTTTACAATGCTTTTTGTTCACTAAATGACATTGTATTAGGTGGACTGAAAAGTAATGTCGTTTATTTTACATTAAATTCAAACAAATTTTTAATAAATTCCTTTTTTTAGTCAATTATGTAATCGCCCTCGTTATCAACAGCCTTTTGCCATTTAATGTACAAATTTTGAATGCCATATCGATAAAAATCAATGAGCTAGTGAGTAATAAAAAAGTATTTCAAATTGAAAAAACGACATTACTTTCCAGTCCACCTAATAATTTGTACTGTTTCTTTCGCGATCTTTATATAAATGAAAGCCTTTCCTGAGATTTATGTGTGTGGCAATAATACATTTACGCTTATAGATCTTTTTGTAAATGAAAAGAACGATTTTCGAGCATAAAATTCTGTTATAAAAGTAAATAATTGTTATTTCTGGAATACTTATTATACAAAAATGAAAAAAATTATTAAATGTAAAATAATGACCAAGAACGATTCACGTTTCATTACAGAATCCGTACTAATTAAATTTTTTCTTTATAGAATTATTGCTATAAACCTTGCAATTTAATGATCACTTTGGAGTATTATCCAATAAACTTATATTAATTTGCAAGAAATACATACGATTATGGTTTTGTAGATTCTCAATAAAGGTTCGAGTATAATCGAAGGAATATGTTATATGATGGTGTTCTGTAAAATTTGTATAAATCATAAATTGAGTATCGTCGTATTAAAAATTACTGTACTTGTTCATCTAATCATTATAAAACTAAGTCAAAAATAGTTCCATATAAATGATGTATATTTGAAAAATGTTATATATCTTTTAATTCCTATTTACAATGTGAAGTTTCATATGTATGTATACATTACATAAAATTTTGTACATGTACTGTTCTTGAATCTTTATGGTATGTCCTCGATTTACGTTCGTAAATCTTCATTCAAGATTATTTTTAATACCCTCGACTGTGTTTGCATAAATTTCTACATAGACCTAGTACAACACACACATTTTGTTTCATTCTTTTCGATAACATTTCCGTACAAACTATATCATATATATTTTATTTTTTCGCGAAAGATATTTTCATTGCATGCGAAGGTGTGATTTTGAATCCTTGAAGAGCATCTTTTGCAGCTCCTGATTGGACTTCGTTTTCAAACTCAACAAACGCGATATCGTGCCTGTTTGGTACCAAACGTACTTCCTTAAATCCAGGAAACTGATTGAAGAGCATAGACAACATCATTTCGCTAGTTTCGTCTGGTAAGTTTGTAAGGAATAGAATTTGATTTGGTGGTTGTTCAGGTACAGCAGTATTGACTAAGCTTGGGTGTTGGGGAACACCGGCATGATAACCAATTTGCTGAGAATGTTTGGCCTGTTCTTTAGCTCGTTTCTTTGCACGTTTAGCTTCTTCATCCGCGGCAGGGACAACTCGTTTTGGTTTCTTAGGTCTTTCCGCATAGGTGCCTTTCATTTTGGCAATTATATCGCTGTCGGTTTTTGCATATTGTATCCTCTAAAAAGTAGGCAAAAATTATATTTTTATCTGTTTTAGAACTAAAATAACCTATAATATTTAGAATACTATCACTTACCATTGGTTTGTCATAAAATGGAAAACCTTGCATTGACCTCAATGCATTCGTAGCACTAGCTATCTCCTTAAAAATAACAAATGCTTGTCCACGCATTTTTAATGTCTTTAATGCTACAATATCTAATATTTGCCCGAATTGTGAAAAAATTGCATACAAGGACTTCTTTAGTTCATCCTTCTTTATTTTTTCATTTAAATTATTAATGTAGATGGTATTATTTGGTCTAATATCCATCGTCACTGGAAGTAGAAAAGTGATTTAATTTAGAAAAATATTTTAATCACAGATAACACAAATTTTTAATATTGGAAAATTAGCAAAAACATCGAAACGATATAAGATTGATAAAACACATTACAAATAGAATGAAAGAATTAAATGTATTATATTTACACGATAAATAATAATACTTTTTGTGTACTGTAACAATTATGCTCAGTCGGCGTCAGTGTCTCGTAAAGGTTAAGGCACACTCAAAACTGATGTGAGTACAACAACGAACCACCATAAGTGTAGAGAGGAAACTACATGTTTAAATTTGAACCACCTATTTCGTAAAAAAACATATATAAATAGCGACTTTTTTAAACATAATTTAGATTTAAAATCGGACAATTTTGTAATATAGATTTTTTATAGATAGTAATATCACGGACATACGTATTATTCTTTTATTCTTTTCAGAAACATGAGTGCCAAACCATTTAGAAACAGTAAAGGTGTAAATAGACCATTTCGTTCTCCATTTAGTACTCCTAAAAATGACAATACAAAAAATAATACAAATACTCCAGAATCAAATACCTCTGAAACACCATTGTAAGTACATATAAAGTAGTACTGTGCTTTCAAAATCTTATTTTACCAATCATACATGTCTGATTGATTTTCCTTTTCTCATTTTAAAATAGGAGGGTTTCTGTATCAAAAAGATTACTTTTTCAAACACCTCCTACAAAAAAATTACGTTTAAGTAATGAGACCTACATAAACCAAACAGATGAACAAAATAAGGAGTTACGTCAGAGTGATTTGGATTCACTAAAAAAAAGAATACAAGAGAAACAAGAGTTAATTAATAATTTGAAAACTACATTGCTGTATAAAAAAAAGGTAAAAGCACATTACGTGTAAAGTATGTTACAGTTATTGGACTCTTAAAAAAGGTGCTTGTGATTATAGAACAAAGCTGAAGATTTAGAAACTGCCATTAAAAAATGGACAGATGCTTGCCAAAATGCTCTTAGAGATTATCAGAATGATTTGCAAGAAAGAAATGGACGATCTGTGAAGATGGTTGAAATTTTATCTTCATTAGGAATAGAACCTAATACAGTCCAGTTTTACATTAACGATGATACATTTCTTTAAATGTATAATCATATACTTTGTTCCTTTTTATACTACAGAGAAATAAATAATTTGAAGTACAAGTTACAATGTTATATTTATTTATTATTTATTTACATATTTATAATAAGATTTCTACGTGAATATGAAAATTCAATGTATGATTTTTCGATATTTTCAAACGTATTATGTTTAAAATGGATGTGGTTTGAATGGGAAGTTTGGATCAAATAATTTTGGATCGTTAGCATATTTGGGATCTCTTGTCATGATGCCCATTAAACCTAGAATGTAGAAAAATTTACATTAACAAAATATGAAATACATACATAAAAAGTAACTTTAAATAAAGATGTAGAATCACACCAGCAGTTTGCGCTTTCAATATTTCTTCTTCCATTCTTTTTTGTTTGTATTCGCATAATCCAGTTATATGTTTTCCATAAATTCTACCTGTGTAACGACTTTGAAATTGCGATAATAAGCGTACATTCTTGAAATTTGGTTCTATCTTGTGCTTACACAAAATGCATACTTTCCGCTCTTTCTTAAACGGATTTTCAGAGATTGTTGGCTGTAAAATGATTAGATACATTTAATTTAAATAATTTAAGTAACTTTACTATTTCAGTCGAAGAGATTTAGCGTTTACAATGAGATATTACCAGATCTGGATCGGGTGTCACGTTGATTGTTTCTGTATTGGAAGTAAATGCTTCGCTGCTTTTATTACGATACGGAAACATTGGGACTCTGTTCGAAACATTTCTTAAAGTCTGAGCTGTAACAAACGTTCGAATCATTTTACAACTTAATAAACGTGCATACACAAAAGTTCATAAGCACGAAGGATAACAACATAAAAAGTGTATTTGACTAGAAGCGACGTATCGTAAATTGCAGTAAACTGTTAGAAATATTGATTATCAAATAAAGTTATATCATTGGATGGATCGAAAAAGGTTGTCGCTCACTAAGCAGCTCTGTGAGCGGGTTTTAGAAACTAGTAGCGTCATCAACGGGAAAACGCCCAAGTTTGTAGTGAAAATAGTTCCCCCTATTCTTGCTAGATGGCGACACTAAGTAAAGCGTCGATAAATTATTGCTGCATTAAATAATTATTCATTGAAATGATAAATTGAACTTATTAAGTAATATATTGTAGTATTATAATGGAAGGAATCGTATTAATTATGCATTTATAAAAAATAAAGTGTAATTTATTGAAATGTATCGTTTTCGCCATCTAGCGGCGATAATGGGAACTATTTTCATTACAAACTTGGGCATTTTGTCACCGATGGCGCCACTGATATTTTTATATGGCTACTTGGTTTCGCCAATGGTTATTAACTAACTCCGAAGGTTTAACAGACGAATCAATTTATTATTCTAGGAGTACAAAGCGTGTCGCTACAACGTTATCACGTGAACAGGAAGTAAGCAAGTCGAATTCAACGCGTAGTGTAACTACTAGTAACAACTATATTTTATTTCCTCCGATGTGAGACAGAGGGCGTCGTCGGTAATGTAGGACTCTGTTCCGCCACATCTATCTTTATTCTCACATTTCACTACTATTTTCAATTTCTCCTTTTCTTTTAATGTCTTTTAATTTTTCTGCAGTAAGAATTATCGAATATTTATAGAAGAATCCATTGTTTAACGTGATTTATTATTATTAAATAGCTCTGGAGGAAGGTTAGAGTTCGCAGCCCTCTGTTGTTGAATTGCGAAGCATAGTTACAGTTGGCTTATCTACAAAATAACAATTAATGGATTATATCATTAAACGGATTCCGTTATCGAAGTCTCTGCCACTCTATTTCTACAACGCGGAGGCGAGAGTCGTGCCGTTGAAGGTTTCGTAGCTAGTAATTTAAATTAATATATTTATTACTTAGAATCTGTTATCAATTGGTGGTGTGTACAGGTGAAAGTGATAGAAACAAGATGTGGCCCTCAATATTGGACGCAGTCAAAATGAATCCCTTTGGAACACCTTTTGTGACAGCTAAATGTCAGGGGCAGAACGAGCTCACGCAGTCACTCGTCAAGAATCATCACATTGCCGCAGCCTCCACCCCTGCTGGTGGTCAGTAGCAAATAATATTCATACTGAACAATCATTCGATTACCATTAAACGAATTCAAAAATTACATGTTTTACCTTGACTGTGTACGTCAAAAGGGCATCTTTTCGATGGCATCTGGTTATCACAGAACAATTGTACGATCTAATTAATTTTATTTTAGCAAAGTTTTCAGCTAGAGAATGTTGTTATATAATCTAAAATATTATTCATAGATATCCATTACTGTTTGAGTTGCTCCAAGTTTAAACATTAAGTTGATTAATGAATCAGAAAATCGTTTACGCCACCGTTATTTGTTTAATAGAAGATTTATCGTTATTTGCTGTGCGTCGTTATTTGTTTAGCGTACGTAAAATTATGTAATGAACACGGGTTTTCGCCTCATGGCTAGTAGTATCGTAATAAGTTTGTATTTTTCCATTCATTTTTTTTGTTGTAATTTTTTTGTCTCGTACAAAACCGCGTCTACTTAAAGTCTAATGTTTTTCTTGATAAGTAAGACGAAAATGTGTTGACGAGTAAGTTGAGTAATCGAGTAGCTTGGCTAAAAATTCCATCATCTTCGATCGTTCCTCGCGAATCGAGGTTGCATAAGGAGTAGCCATTTTGTCGAAAACGCGCATGTGAGTACCGTTCTCGTAACCTTGGTTAGAAATTCGATTAAAAATAATAGCACGTTGGTACAGTGGCCGCGACCGAGAAACTAATTAAAGATATCCTAGTGTTCTTGAAAGGTTTATTATTGGATTAGAGCAAGGTGGTAAGGTCATTCGTGTCGAATTTGAAGGTCTGCCAGGTTCGAATTGCACGCGTTGCCTGGATCAGCAAACAGCTGATTAATGGCAGTTTCTTTGATCAATTAACTACTCGCTTGCAAATAAATTTTTTTTTTCTAAACACACGATTTTAAGCACATTTTGCAGCGGACTTAACAAATACAATACATTTCTTAAGAAAATCGTAGTAGTTTAAAATTTTATTTTATTATATGCATAACATATATTTTTTCTTTAATATTCAGACAGTTGCGAGTTTGGATCGAACAAATACTTTCTGCTATGCGGTTTGGGAGGCATCCTGTCATGTGGTATCACTCACACCATGATCACACCCCTGGATCTGGTAAAATGTCGAATTCAAGTAGATTCAGAAAAATACAAATCGGTCTTCAACGGTTTCAGAGTAAGTATTAAATTATTTCTGACTACATTTTACAAATAAATACCATAACTGTATAATTCAACTGATTTCAGGTGACAGTGGCTGAGGATGGAACACGAGGTTTGGTAAAAGGTTGGGCTCCGACATTCTTTGGTTATTCTATTCAAGGAATGTTCAAATTCGGTCTCTATGAAGTCTTCAAAGTATATTATGCGGCACTTGCTGGAGAAGAAATGTCGTATGAATATAGGACAAGTTTATATCTTGTTTCTTCGGCATCTGCAGAATTTTTTGCTGATATTGGTCTAGCTCCATTTGAAGCTGCTAAAGTAATTATCGATTATTTTTCCACGGATATGTACAAATAACGTTTTTAACACATTTTAAAAAAAAAACGTAGACAGTTAGATCTATACTGTCCTCGTTATAATTTAAAGAAATTAGCAGATACTACTGTTCTATTATCTGTGCATTCCCGTGACTACTCCTACATCCAAAACAAGACAGAATTGTTCTTTTTCCCTGCATTGTTCCTACCGATCCTCATGTTTGCTTCATCATGTCCAATATCATATGTACTGTAAGTTTCTTTGAATGACTGTTAATATACATAGCATTGACTGTATGTTAAATTGCATAGAGTTCACAGAGCATATTTTCTATGTAAACAGGTCAGAATTCAAACCATGCCAGGATTTGCAAATACTTTGAGAGAAGCATTACCAAAAATATACGGTGATGAAGGTCTTGGTGGATTCTACAAAGGGCTGGTACCTTTGTGGCTTCGTCAAATTCCATACACAATGATGAAGTTTGCTTGTTTCGAGCGAACGCTTGAGCTCTTGTACAAGTATGTAGTTCCTAAGCCACGACTAGAGTGTACAAAGGGTGAACAGTTGGTTGTCACCTTTGCAGCTGGATACATTGCTGGTGTATTTTGCGCAATTGTATCTCACCCTGCTGATTCTGTAAGTATACTTCTTATGTAATTATATTTTGATGTCTATTTTTATTTGTTTTATTAATATGACATTATTACATACTTTGTTAACATAGGTTGTATCAAAACTGAATCAAGAGAAGGGAGCATCTGCTGGCGACGTTCTGAGAAAACTTGGTTTCGCTGGTGTATGGAAGGGTCTTGGCCCTCGTATCGTTATGATTGGTACATTAACAGGAGCACAATGGTTTATTTATGATGCTGTGAAAGTGTGGCTTCGTATGCCCCGCCCACCACCACCAGAAATGCCAGAATCGCTCAAGAAGAAATACGGACTGGCTTAATTATCATACACCAATAATATGTTTGATTGAATTGAAGCAATTGCAGTTAGAAAGAAAAGAGCATAGATGAATTACATTACTTCCTCACAATACATTGTCGAACAATGTTTTGCCATACATTTTGAGTATTTATTCTGTAATACAGACATCAGTGCAGGTGCCACTGCCTTGAAACTAGAAGTATTAATGTGCTGGAAAAATGACTCATAGTACATTGGCTATAATTACTATGATTAGAAGGAAGCAGCATATTTATAAACATTTAATTGTGACAGTGAGTTACCTATCGTAACCAAATGCTGTTACTTTGTACATAGAGTAATCACTGTAAATAAATGGTCTGTGATTGCTCGATTAAATCTCTAAGTTTGGTATTTATTTCTTGTACACCTGAACCAACAAAATATACTATACACGTATCGATTTTCATTAGGTTTAATTAAAATTTGGAACATAATCCATACATTTAATCAATTTCAATACAATCTTTATATAAATATAAATACATATATCAAGAAAAATACAGTGTACAATAGTTTCAATATCACAAGTTGATAAGTTTTATTCGTAACTGTATATACATGTGTTATAGAGCATTCATAGAAGCTAACCATTAACTCTCTGACTACGAAAGGCGTATATATTCTTACACGAAAATTTCCAATAACAATCGTCCCGCAGTCAAAGGGTTAACAAATGTACAAAAATTTACATATATTATCTTGAATAAAATTTGTTATCTAAGTACATTTTAGCGTCTCGTATCGTCGGAAAGATCTTAAATGTCAGCTTTCCGTGTAAGTACAAATCACATTTTTTTATCATTTCAAAAATCGGACTCGAACAATTTACAAAAAAAAAGTTTACATCGATTTGATTAAATTCCGTTATTGTCGAATGCAACGCGACTACGCCACTAGAATCAATATAACTTAAGGCGCTCATATCCATTACGATACATCGTAATTCTTGTTTGTCTTCCGAATCTCCTGTATCTATGTAAATACCTTTCTCTCTTAATTTCAGTCTGTGTTCTATAACGTTGTGTGGATTTACTCCTACTCGTTTATACAATTCGGATTTAAAATGATTACTATTCGCAAAATTTAGAGTTCCACAATACTGAAAAATTTTCAATCCAGGAATTTCCACCGCCTAAAAATTACATAAAAATATATATCGTAATGATAATAATTTTAGTTTAACAAAAAAAGTATCGTTAATTGCAAAAAGTAACGTACCGCCTTGTATCTACTCAAATCTAAATATAAATCTGTATTTGGTATGTGTCCCAGCAAACAAGTGTAAGGTCTAATGCTTTGTAATAAAATAATTAGTAGCGACAACATTATTCCAAACAATAAACCAATATCGATGCTCACTACA